AGGATCGGCGCCGCCGGATGGGTGGTGGTGAAGGAGGTTGCCCCATAATTGCTCACGACTTTGCGTCACCTGGCGTATTCCACAGGGTAGAGATGTCGGTAGGCCGGGGGTGAGTGCCCGAAAGGTACGCAGCAATGCTCGACGAGGGATTAAGTTGAGCGAAACGCTCCCCGCGCTGCCGGCAGCGACGTGATGGCGGGGTTAAACACATCAATGATGTGATTGGTTAATCTGTTTCATGTTTCCTCAGCACCAATCATGGTAGAGAAGGAGATGTAGGTATGGGACGTTGTGCGACGCCGAAGGAACCCTGACGGGCGGTTAGAATTGAAGCAAGGGGCTGCAAGAGACCAAAACCCCAAAATGGCAAAAAGAAATGAGATGTGGCCAGGTTGAACGACCTGAACGACCTAGGCATATGCAAACGTCACGGTAGAAAGAGCAGGCACAACTTGACACGGTGCGAAGTCGCGGGGTTGTCACTAGGATTGCAGCCAAGCTGGCGAAAAGGAAGGAACAATTCGTTGCTGTTTCACCTTACTTGCTCCAACTTTTTCCATTACCTGTGAGCCTACCTTGGTCCTTTTTGATGGCCATGCGACTTTTCTAACGCTACTTCTCACAGCCTCTCATCTCTCCCCTAATCGCCTACATTTGGCGGCACACCTGGCTTGGCAATCATCAGTCATAGCACCTCCGATACAGCATTTAAAGAAAAGTTTTCCACTCTCTGTTCTCTTTGGTATGTGTAGATTAGTACATCTGTTTTTCCTTGTCCAAGTCTCTTGCATTGGGCCCTCGTACAGTCAAATCGGCCCTCGAGAGCAACAAGGAGACGCCGTATGAGCATCAATAGTTACCTTCTAGTTGTGATAGTGGAATGCAGGTAGTATTCAGGACCTCCAATGGCTCCCCCACCCCCATCCTGTCGGATGCGAGCAGACGAATCCCGGGCGTAGCGTCGGAAGATAATAACCCCCCATTCCTGAACACTCTTATCGGTGCCTATGTGGGGTTAATATTTGTTGGCAATTCCGGACAGCACAGCGTCTCAGATCGGGCATAGTTGGGGACATCTAATCCAATAAGAGGCTAGATCGCCGGGTTCACATGCCCAACTGAGTTTGGATTGGGGATCCGAGTGATGATGCTCGCCGTTCTGATCCTCACGCGCAACCAACAGCGTAGCTTCCCCGCACCGCCATTACCCATAGTATCCCATTAATGATCGCTGCATCAATAATCAACGCCGCAGAGTCCCCAGGATTCATCTCGACGAGTTTCATCAAAGCTGTAAACATGACCACGGACAGATCTGCCGGGTTGGACGCTTCTTTGAAGTCGTTGTACGAAACTGTCAGGTTTGGTCACACTATTACAGCCACAGCTGCAGGTTCCGGAGTCTTTTTTCTTCTCGCAATTGTCATCCTCGGGATCTTTGGGCGCTACTTCACCTCTCGCGCCACAAAAGTACATGTAACCAACGAAAAGACACGGCCGCATATTCTCCAGTTTCCGCCCTCGCGGCGCCATGTTCTAGCCAGTCTCATCAAGACTGAGAGGTCTCTCGGCGACGTGGAGATCCCCCCCGAGACACTGAAATCGAAAGCACTTCCGACAATCGCGAAGGGCGATCTGGGACGAGATGACCAGTACACCCCAACAGGCTTCTCGGCCCAAGAGATCAGGGCCATCGGGCGGTTCCCAGACTATTCCATCTTGACCGGTATCCGTCATCCCGAGCCCGTCAGCCCAACATGGGACATTTCCAAGGCCACCTTCCGGCCATATCGCCCTTTTCGCTGGGGATACCACCAGCACATGGGTGAGGACAATGATGATTAGAGCCTGTGATACAAAAACTAATATCCGGGCAGCCCTCATGAAGTTTGAGCCCGACTGGTGGGTGGAGCTGGAGCAGAACTACGAAAAGACCATGAAGGCACGGCTCAACCTGCTCGAAGAACACAGCTCGCGCATCTTCTTCCAAGGCCCCGGGGCCGACCTGGCAGCCCGCGAGCTCATGGAAATGCTGCTACAATTCCTCTGCCGGCGGTACCCGCAGCACTTCTCCCTCTCAAACACCAACACCGTGTTCCACAACCGCCTCCTGAACACGACGACCAACCTAACCACCACGCCGCCCCTCCGCGTGCTCTTTGACAACGTGCCCGAGGACTACGCCATCATGCTGCGCAACGAATCCGACGGCTTCTACTACCTGCGCGCGGCCATGGTGTGCTCGTCGGTGGGGTGGCACATCGGGCAGCACCGCGACAAGCCGCTGCGGGCCATCCACGCCGAGGTGCCCGACGCGGACCGCATGGCCATGAGCATGGATCGCTGGTTCAGCAAGATGGGCACCGACGCGCCCGTCAACCGCTGCTCGTGGTCCATCGAGGACTGGGAGGCCATGTTCACGACGCCCGAGATCGAGGCCGACTGGAGCCGCAGCGCGTTTGCGCGCGACCCGGAGCGGTTGGCCGTCGGGGATCTGAAGCTGCGGTGCGATGCGCAGACGTTGAGGCGGTTGCCGTTAAGCGGGGCCGTGGTGTTTAATTTCAAGGCGATCTTTACGCCGTTGGAGGAGTTGCGGGATGAGCCGTACATCCCGGCGCTACTGCTTAAGGTGCTGCAGGAGGGCAAGGAGAACTTGATTACTTACAAGTGTGTGGACAATGTCAGGCGTGTGGCCACAGAAGCGCTGCAAAAGTGGGCTGCTGAGCAGGTCGAGCAGGGCATTGTGCCGAAGGACTGGGAGATTGGGACCTTGGACGAGAGCCCTTTCTTTCGCGGGTGGGAGGAGAAGTGGAAGCGTCAACCGGGGCTCTGAGCTGTTGCGGGGACACTGAGGTGAATCCCCTTGGGCTTTTAAACGTGTAGTTTCTTACATTGCCAACATTTGCTCAGTCTCCCTAAATGCACTACCTAATCCATGCAGGCCATGCAGGTCAGGGTAATTCGGTGGTTTCCTTGTATGTCGGGCGAATCCAACCCCGATGTGGGGAAGCGTGGGCCGGAACTAGCACCCGCAGGAGCCAACGGGAGCGTCATATTGTCGGACCGGGACCGGGACGGAGCGTTGCGCGAGAGTGGCGGGGACTGGTGTGATCGGGGAGAGGGGTCTAGGGAGACCACACCTTTGCTCGTTGGATGAACAACCTGAATCCATGCTACCCGTGGTAAATAAAAGGACGTTGCTTTGTTCCAGTCCTGCGCCGACTTCAATCGTTGCCAACACCCACCAACACCCATCAACACCCACCGTCACCATGTCGACAACACAGATCTCCCACAACACTGGGAGTAAGTCCCAGGCAGACAGAGCGGTGACGCCAGGAGGTCGCGTCGCCTTTGGCAGGGAGATGCGCCGGCTTTTCAACTTTGCACCAAGTTACACGCCACTCAACCATGGCTCATTCGGCACCTTCCCACGCTCTGTTCTCGAGCGCCGCTTCAAGGTGCTGCAAGACTGGGAGGAGCGCGAGTGCATAACCTATCGGTTTGACTACCCCGAACGTCTCAGAGAGTCACGCGCTCTTGTGGCACCGCTCCTGGGCGCCCACGTTGACGAGCTTGTCCTGATCCCCAACGCCACCACCGGAGTTAACACCATTCTGCGCAACCTCGTCTATGAAAAGGGGGATGTAATTGTCTATCCGGCAACAATCTACTCTGCTTGCCTCAAGGTTATCCAGCACTTGGAGGAGACCACACCAGTCCGCCGACACGGCATTTCGATCAAGTACCCCATTGAGGATGACGACCTCGTCGAGCTGTTCAAGGCCACCGCCAAGCGTCTCACCGGGGAAGGGCATCGCGTGAGGGCGGCTGTCTTCGACACCATTGCCTCACGCCCTGGAGTGCGCATCCCGTGGGAGCGCATTGTGAAAGCATGCAAGGAACTGGGCATCCTCAGTGTCATCGATGGCGCCCATGCAATTGGCCATCTCGACATGACGCATACCGGGACCCTGAAGCCCGACTTCCTTGTCACCAATTTGCACAAGTATGTCGCCCCTTTCTTCAACCGCAATTTTCTCAGGGGTTGCGAGCTGTTCTAATCCAGACAAAGGTGGCTGTTTGTTCCCCGCGGCTGCGCCGTTCTCTACGTCCCCTTTGCCAACCAACACCTCTTCAAGACGGCCCTGCCCACCTCCCACGGCTTCCTCAACGCCGAGCTTCGGCCCTCCAAATCCACAAATAGCTACTTTGTCGAGCTATTCAAGGACCTCGCCACCGTGGACACGACGCCGTACCTCCTCATACCCGAGGCTCTGCGCTTCCGCGACGAAGTGTGCGGCGGCGAGGGCGCTATCCGCGCCTACTGTGCGCGTATTGCCCGCCAAGGCGGCGATATAGTTGCCCGTATTCTGGGGACCGAGGTCCTGGACAATAAAAGCGGGAGTTTGCGGTGGGGGGCTGCCTTTGCGAATGTGCGGCTTCCCATTCCCGTCGTAGAGGATAGAGATGTCGAGGGTACCCTGTCGGTGGCAGATATCGAGCCCGCGCTGCTGTGGCTCTTTGCTGTTGCTGCGGAGGAATATGACACGTATTTCCAGACCTTCTTCTTTCAGGGGGTGATTTGGACGAGGCTTAGCGCTCAAGTCTATCTCGACATCGATGATTTTTCCTGGGCCGGGGCTACCCTCAAGGAGCTTTCTGCGAGATTGTTAAGTGGGGAGTGGAAGACGGGCGGTGCGAAGGTGGTGCCCCCCCGCCACCGGCTTGCAAAGCTATAAGCCAATCACCTGTGTCTAGTATTTCTACAGGCCTTGCCTTGTTTGTGTAACAATAATACCATCAGTGCTTTAACACTACCTTCAAGTTGACATTGTCAGTTTGTTGAACTTGTGGTGCATTATTCACACCGGCCTTTGACTAACACCAAATTTCACAACTTACAACTTAAAATTACCCCTCCCAACAAGTCATCTTGAAAAATCTGCATTTTGGCCTTTGGCGAAAGGTAACTTACTATCACCTCATCGATTCAAAACAGCAACGTAGCCAAGTGGCCTAAGGCGCCAGGTTCGGATCCTCTGAATTGATGATCCTGGTCTCAGATCCTGGCCTAAGTAATGGGGCGTCGGTTCGAATCCCACCGCTGTCACAGATTAGGAACTTGAACAGTTCCCATTCTTCCTGCAGTTGGTACTTACCTATCGTTGATCTTGGTAAGATATTAATTAATTAACTCTAATTATTACTAGAAAGAATTTATTTTATAGAGCATATGAGTTACTTACTCTCTTATCTTAAGACTTTTTCATTTAAGAAAGTTACTTCTTAGTTATAAATAAAGATATTAACTTAATAATGTGCTGTTGCAAAAGGCCAATGCTTATGATGGGATTATCAGCAATGTCAACCCTGAGATGACCTCTAAGAAGGGGCACGAACCGTGAACTATTATAAAGTTGGGAGCATCGAACAGATCGGGCTCGAATGGCCCTTCTCCATGATTCTCGCCCGGTACAGCCCAGGGCAGCAACCCAATGAACTTTGTTGCATTCTGCACTAGTCCGTTTAGCTTGCTCGTCTCCTTCGGGTCTGAGATTGAGGCCATGCTTTCCCATTCGCAATGTTCCTGCTGGATCCCGGTACGTCTCCACGAAGCCAATAATGTGCTCAACCTTTGGCGAGGTGTCTGTAACTCAGGTTTTCTGAGCGCTACGGAAGGCCTCTACATCTCCATGGCGAAAATACTCGATGTACTCATGCATCAGGGCTGTTTGTGTATCGTTTGAGGCGCAGTCAGCCGCGTGCTGGAGCTCCTCACAAATCTTGGACAACTCGGCCGCGTGATCTCCGCGTATGATCTTGAATGTAGCTTCGGGAAGTCGCTCTCCAGCAGGGATGGACCCGAGATCTCGGAGGTAGCCTGAAGGATTTCGAAGACAGGCTTGTGTTCTTGCATGGTTTTGTGCACTCTTGTGTTCTCGGGCCAGATCCCGTGCTTTTCCATGACCTTGGTGACCATGGCAACATCTTCCCTCGAGATGGGCTCATCGCCAATGTAGTAAGAGGACTGAGCCGTCTTGCTTGGGAAACCGAGAGTGTAGGGAGGGGTGGTAACCACCTGATCGAGTATTCGCTCAAGTGTAGCCGCGGCCTCGGGGGAAATACTAGCCATCTTGCGGAGGACGTTCGTTGAGACTGTCGGGGCAGCTTTCCTATCGCCCACGCCCCAATTCCACATGGTTAGTAACACTGCCTCTGATTTTCTGTGTTGCGACCAAACGATCGCAGGGTGCAAATAGACTTGGATGGTTGCAAAAAAGAAGAGCCCAACAGGGAACTAGAGCGCGTCACCTACATAGTAGTTGCCCAGGTGAGCGAGGAACTGAGCCGCGTACTCCAAGAAGGCGTCAACATCGGAGGGCCCGACCAGATCTTCGTGGTCGGTTCTCTGGAGAAGGCGGGACCAGTTGCCATGGCATGCCTTGTGAAGGTGAAGGACTAGGCCGTAAATACCCTCACTCTCGGGCGATGTTTGGCGCATGACGGTCCAGCTCCCATGCCAAGCTGCCTACAGGTTTGTGTCCCAAGCACTGGGACGCCTATTCGCCATGAACAACAACCGGGCAACCACACGAGCGAGGTCTTGGTGTGCTTTTATCAGTCGTCCAATGTTAGGCTCACCTGTCTTCCCCGCTCCCGACAATTGCAGTCTGGTGTATCCTGAATACCTCGACTCGACCATTGCCGACTCGCCGGACAAGATGGAGACGGGAGAATTGTAAGTGGGGGAATTTTCGTCCTGCACTTGGCGTGTCCTCCACCATGCCTATGCTAAGAAAGTCGGAACCCTACAGGACAGACTTCTTCCAGGCCAATTGGAACGGCCACGTGAGGAGATTGGGGGACTCGTTGGACTCAGACGACGTGGAAACAGTCCGAAGCTTCAAGTCCTGGGCTGATGTCGAGATTCTCCTCCGCAACCTCGCTCCCTCGATCGGCCTCATCCAACCTGCAGTGCGCCATCTACATTTCTTCGTCAACTTTTTCGAGACGAGGTTCGGATCACAGCCGGACACATCGTACTTTTGGGGGAGCATTGGATGTCTCATGCAGCTGACGGCGAACCCAGAAGACAGCGAAATGTTGGAAAAGGTTCCTCGCATGATCAAGGCCATTGCACACAAGGCCGAGGCGTTTAATACCTATTGCGCTAGCGTAAGTTAGGTTAGCAACCTAGTCACGGAGGCGTGCTTCGACATGCAAATCCTCTTTGTCGAGTTCTTCACACACTCGATCCAGTGCCTTCACGGTACCAACGAGCGTCATCTAACTCGTAAGCTCGCGCCCCAGGTCATCAACCAAGGTCACTCCGATGTGTTCCAGGAGTAATAACTGAGGATACTTACGGTATCAGAACCCGAAATCCCTCTTCGACGCATTGGGCGACGCTTCACTTCAATCAACCAGTAGCTCGGTGAGGTCGTCGCTAGAGACGAGGTACTGATGATATCCACGTCGGCCAGACAGCTCCAGCCCCGGCAATCCAACAGCGTCGCCCGCTGCTTGATGCCTCCTCTGAGAATATAGCGCTGTTTCAACAGGGTCGATGTATTCGAAGATCTCGATCGAATCCTCGCACCCACACTGGCATCATCATTCAGGTCCTCGCACTTTATGGTATAGGCGGTGTGGGGAAGTTACATCCCTTACCATCTACTACTTTACGTTATGAAGATTATCTCCCTTATTATTATGTAAAAGCCCCGTATCAGACTAATAGCATTGCTAAGGTAGTCCGTAGTATGGTTAAATTATATAATCATAGCTCTGCCGTTCGGCTCATCGAAGGTAACACGCCTTGTAATTGCTATAACTCAGCCTCACTGTGGCTAGCCTGTGTCAAAATAAGTCACTGTTGTTTTTATAACCACTTACATACTAGGTACTAGCTTATATGCTAGGGCACTAGCTTATATACTAGGACACTACCCTACATACTAAGGCACTCCCCTGAATTTTACAGTACTACCAAAATTCTAGTGGGCTAGCTTACATTCTATACGCTGGGAGAGCTTACCACAACTATAGAAGCCCCTTCTCCCACTACCATAGATAGTCTCTCATTTTAAGCAAGCAGTACTTATAGAGTCTCTATATTCAGTACCTAGTCCGCTGTGAGCCTTCTATCTTATAGGGCATCTCCCCCGCGGTCAGAATCATTGTGTAGTTACTAACCCACTAACTATATTCCTCACTTCCTTTAGTAAAACAGGGCCCTTTAGCACTCTAAGTAAACGGCCGCTACGCTACCGCTACGCTACCGCTACGCTACCGATACGGGTCGCCACAACGGCGATTGGCTACGGAGCGCCGGATGCGGAGGTTATGATCCAGCTCCGGATATGGGGCGCTACCTAATCCGGGGCGCAGCAAGGTCTACCTAAGAGTGGTAACAGTCACGTAACAACCCATGTGCTACGGTTAAAACGACCGCTTTGGTAAGCGTTACTTTGGTGGTCCTTCACTGAACACTGACATGACGTAGTGTATGGTAGTGTAATAAATTGTAAAGGATGGCCCGTTGGTAATTAGTCTGGAGGGCGTACTGCCATTATATGGCAGTGCACCCCCTGTGCTCAATTGAGCGCAGGGACTGCGCACAACAGACTAACCATCTAAGCTATCTACATTCTACCACGTAACAACCACGAATTCAATGGTATAGTAATTACTAACTAGCTAGTATCTCCCCTAGTAAGACATGTAATACCAGGGCCATAGTCTTTACACTTATTAAACCATACCATAACCTTTATAGGTATTTCCATAGTGTAGGTTATCTTCTTTCCCGTACTAAGAGAGCCACCTTCCAACATTAACACAGCTACTGTAGGCCTCTTTTTTTCCTACCTCCCCTCCCCTAGAGAATTCGATAGGGTACGCTTTCGTTGACTAAATAGCCGTCGTACGGCCAAGAGGGTCTCGTTATTCGGGAGTTGACAGTCTTACAATCAGGTTACTTCGTAAGAGAGTCGGGGGGGGGGGGGGGGGGGGGGGTCAACAGAGCCGCGGATCGAGGGCCCTATGCCTCGCTGGTATGGAAAAAGGGGGAATCTCTATCTTGCGGATAGGAGGCACTGGCCTGGGTGCTATTTTCAAGCCAGTCATCTGCACTTTTCTCCACGCTATTAACGATGGACACATCAATGGCTGGCTCGACCGTTATACTGTCTTAGATATCTGGCATTTTGTAGGGAATACAACGAAAAGATAGACAAAGTCAGGATCACATAGTCGTCTTGGATGTCTTTGATACCCAAGGTGGGGTGAAAATCTGGTGCGTGGCTTGAATGTGGTTAACTATTACGGCTCGCCTACATACAGGGGGGTCATACAATACATCTTGGCATGGCCCACTTACAAAAGGTCTCTTTTTCGCAGTTTGCCAAACCGCTAGTTGGGGTGTGGATCAGGCCCTTAGCTCCTAAGAGGTAGCCATTAAGTAACGGGACACCTAAACCACCTCGGCGGTCTCGTTACCTGGAGGATATTAGAGTAGGTTAGCAGGAGGCTTAAGGGTGAGGAGTAAGGGCACTTATAATAGGCAGGTACTTAACGTGCTATCCACAGCACCGACCGTAACGACGAGATGATAATGGGTTAGACTTAGAATCGCGTTATGGGAGGGCCGCTTTACCATCTGCAGAAGTGGCGTACTTAGCGTACTCCACGTGTTTGGAGTGATTAGTGGCAGATAGTTTGCTAAATCATTGTTACAGTTTAGACAGGCGTCTGGCCAGGTACTAGAACTGGACAGTTAGTATCAGACACGAGTTACACCTGGGTTGGGACATTTATAGGACGGCAGCCTTACGATTACGGGCAGTGGGCTGGACGACGGGGTATTACTTGGACTTTAAATTTCGGCAGCTGCGGTTAGCTGCTATTTGAAGCGAGGGGTACTGTCACGGCACCAAAGCGCGACCGGGCAGCGCCCGGACCACGCACGATAAAATAGCCGGACCCAGCCGCTCCCCAGATAGCTTCCTCGCACAACAACAAGTCCATCAACCAAGTCCTTGCTCGGCGCCGTGACATCACCGTTGGTGACACCATATCCATGTTTGGTGGTAGCCTTCCTTGCCAACC